GTGTGGGAGAAACAAGAAAAAGCTTTACATGCATGATCCGAAAGTATATATTATAAATATGATCTTTTTATTAGATTTGTCAAATAGCGCATTTGAGTTGATTAAGACATATTAGTTTTGTACTAATCACCTAGATATCATCAAAGAACTGATAATTTACATAAATATTATATTATATGGAATGCTATTGAATGAATACACTTTTACACTAGTATAACAAGTAAATCAAATTTCATAAAATACTACCCTATGCCTAATATTCCCTCCAAAATTGGAAATTTCATTGGGAACATAGCTAGCTAGGAAATTTATAGTGACAATATATATTACTTAAACAACTCAATTCTTATAGTATGTAATAATTTTTTTTATAACTGCATTACTTCGAGGTTTTCTTGATAAGTGGTGATCTTGATTCACGAAGTCTTCTTTCATTTACCAATAATGTTGCAAACCTATCACAAAATTAAAGATTTTCATGAGTTAACTTATGACATAACAATGTATATACAAATATTCTAACAATTTAGACAATATAATAGTAAAGACTAGCTAAGATGCATTAATGATAAAAAATATTATTTAGATCAATTATATTAATATAAACATGTTACTCATAAAAGAACAAGGCAGCACTTTTCAAACACCTTTTTGTTGTCAAATAAGTGACAACGTAATTTTGTTTTAAAATGTTTGACATACTTCCTACTCTTTTCTCAAAGAGTTAAAGTAATAATCCTCATCAAATTATCTGTTATGATTTTTAAAAATAGTTATCTTAAATTATTTATTATTTTAAAATTTTGATATAATATTATCTACATAATAAATGTTACGAAAAACTACAATCACATTAATAGAATAAATATTTAATGATGAGAGATTGTATATTAAGATAAAAATAATCGTAAAGTAATTATCTCTCAACTCAGTAGATGTGGCTACAAAGAAAAATTTGGAGAGGTTAGTGGAAATTGGAGAAAATTTATTGAAAAAACCACTTTCAAGGGTAAATTTGGAAACAGGTTTGACAAAACCAATTCCTAAAGGAGGCACTAATGAGGAAGCCCTTAAGAGGTATCTCATCATAATTTTAATTTGATACTATCTCCGTTACAAATTATTGTTTTAACGTGGAGTTGACAAAGCAAGTCAGTTGGTGTATAAGCCCGAGGTGTTGTAAGTTTAGGTTGGAGAGGGTTGTGGGATAGTGGAGGATATGATAGAATTCCAGAGTGGTTAGCTCTTGGGTTAGCTCGAGTTGTGTCGACGCTAGTCGTATTAGACTGTTTGTCATCATTTCCTCTATTATATTTGGTAGAGGAGTGGGGTTGAGGTCGTTCTGATTCAGGTTGAGCATCCCCTCTCACGTCGCATAAGGCGACGTTTGGACTACATGTGGGAATATTGTTAGCAGATGATGATTCTGCGTTATATAGTTCGTGTCGAATGGAGTGTATGGATTCATGAGGTTCTAGAATATAGGATTTATTGGGATGTAATTTGGGATTTCTTGGAATTGATGGTTCTCTATTGGGTAGGGTGGTTAAGTGTTGATGTTGCTCATCATCAGGTAGTGAGGGAGATGATTGTTTGACATGATGAGTCTCTGGTGGTGGTTGTTTGGTTGTTGTTGGTTGAGGAATAAGCGATTGTATTGAGACATTGTTAAAAAGCTTTTGGCTAAAATTTGTATGTAGTATTTCCTTTTGGGAGTTGGTTTTAAAGCCTTCATGTAAACTATTCAAAGTGTTTGAACTCATGGTAGGTTGTACTTTGAGATCTCCTTGTACCTTTTTCCTGTTTGATCGACGTGTGATGTTGATGTTCAGAGGAGATGATTGGAAGCTAAATTTTTCGGTTTCGATTCGCTCTTTCTTTGACGTACTTGAAGAGTTATTAAGGTCATTTTGATTGTGATCTAGTTTCATTTGGATGGAAGTAAAAGTTTCTAGTTCTAGTGTGTCACGACCCAAAAATAAACATGATGGCACTCGTCTTATCCCACCAAGACAAGTCAGCCTAACTCTCACCCATTATAATAAAATGCGGAAATTTCATAATTAACTCAAAAATACCCCCAAAATCTAGTTGTCACGTGTACAAACCCTCTAAAGTATTACAATAGATTTGAAAGAAAACGCAAGTCTCAAATGATGTTGTCTCTAAAATAGAACAATATCATAAATAGAAGTAAGAAGGTCCATTGAGATGACAAACAACTACCTCACAAATCTCCAAGAAGCCTCGGAAAATAAGAGAATGGAAAATATCACAAAATCCAGGCTCGTAACCAACAAAAAATTGTAGAAGCAAGGGGTGAGTACCAAACCACACGATACTCAGCAAGTACACCTCTAAACACAAGCTAAGGGAATAGAATACGGGTACTCCTTACACCCCTACCGAACCTCCACAACTACAACCTGCATAAAATCAGCCCAACCTAACAGTTCACAGTTTACATAGCACCCAGCTCAACAACAATCACTTTAACAAATTACATATCATCAACAACAAACTCAATATTCATCAATCACAACTTTCACAAAAATGCACTCACAAATATCAACAACACACAAGATCAAGTTCATCAAATAGAGGTAATCAAATATCAAGTACTTTCCAACCA